AAAAAAAAAAAAAAAAAAAAAAAGAGTGAGAACAAAGGGCCAGTCCCTAGCAAGAGGCAGCCTGGACTCCGCGCTGTCTCCAACTTGCCTTCAGAGCGTTCTTTCCCTCTTCCAGGTCACTGCAGGGAGCCTCCGCAGTGGGAAAACGAAGGCACAGAAAGAATATATCATTTTGTGGTGGGGCAGACGGTTCACTACCAGTGCATCCAGGGATACAGGGCTCTACACAGAGGTCCTGCCGAGAGCATCTGCAAAATGACCCACGGAAAGACAAGGTGGACCCAGCCCCAGCTCGTGTGCACAAAGCAAACAGAGCCCAGCCAGTTTCCAGGTAAGGCAGCTCCCGTCTGGGGTCCACAACATTGCTTTTCTCCATCAGGCTGACCAGGGCAAGAGCCCTGACCTCTCCTGCTGTGTGTCTTTGAATAAGCCCCTTGATATCCCAGGACTTCCATTTTTTTCTCATTCTGAAAAAAAAAAAATTAAATGGACCAGATAGACCCCAAGGGCTCCTTCAATTAAGGTCCCCCTGTGCCCTGTGTGGGGAGAAAGGTGTAGACAGAAGAGAAGGAAAGGTCTAAAGGTCTCTCCCAAGCACCCTAGGTGCTGCCTCACAGTTGCTCCTGAGTCCACTACTCCCTGAGCCACCAAGACCTCTTCTGGCTCCAAGGGCACGTCCAGTGCCCCACACACGTGTTTTTCCTCTTACTGGTGGCTGTGTAAAGGCGTGATTTGAACAGTGCCCCGCGGTCAGCATGCTCCTTCCCCATGCCATCCGCGGCTGAGCTTAGATAGACAATCATGAAGAGAGTGCACATGTGCATGCACACACACACATGCAAACACTCAGCCCACCCATGTCAGGTCTGCTGCTATCTTCCTTCTGAAATCTTAGTATCAAGACAATCAAAAGTGACTTACACACAGGCCGAGCACGGTGGCTCACTCCTGTAATCCCAGCAGTTTCGGAAGCCAAGGCAGGTGAATCACTTCAGGTCGGGAGTTTGAGACCAGCCTAGCCAATATGGTGAAACTTTGTCTCTACCAAAAATACAAAACTTAGCTGAGCGTGGTGTTGGGTGCCTATAATCCCAGCTACTCAGGAGGCTGAGGCAGGAGAATCGCTTGAATCTGGGAGGTGGAGGTTGCAGTGAGCCGAGACAGCACCACTGCACTATAGCCTGGGCAACAGAGCAAGACTCCATCTGAAAAAAGAATTAATAGTTTTCTCTTTATCTCCTATTGTTTCAGTCATTATAACCACGACACTGTCTCAAAAGAAAAAAATGACTTTACATTCAAGTATTCCTGGTTTTCTTGCTCACTGTACTTCTCATACTCCACGTCTTTCTCTTGGTTTCTCTGGGGAGTCTGTTTTGTTCCCTCAGCTGCCTCCCTGGGCCACCCTAATAGCCAGGGAATGCCTGTTGCTTCCTTAGAAGAGGCTGAGCAGCAGGGCAGAGCCAGGGTTGCCGACCCCCCGGAGGAGGGGAGGGTCTGGCACGTAAGCAGCTGTCCTTCGCACATCTGCTCCATCCAACGGCTCGCTGGCATTCGTGTTATTATGACCTGTTTCCAAGTCACGGATGGAAGCCAGGGCTGAATAGGGAGGCTGGGGAGAAAGCATTGCTCAGAGTTTTGGGGACAGCCAGGGTCAAAATTGGAATTCAGCCTCACCTGCTCTGCTGAGGCCACTTCACCGCTTCCCAGTGCCCTGGAGTGGAACCATCTGGGGTGGCATCCCCTGGCAGGGTGCCCACACCAGGATTCCTGCCTCCTCGGGTGTACCTGGGGCCGGCTGCCTCGGGTGGGGTGGGACTGAGGCCCTGACTCATCTTCAGCTCCCGCAGCATCACTCACTCTCTCCCCCAGGCGAAGAGGAGCCTCAGGCAAGCCCCGACAGCCTTCTTGAGAGTGAGAGTTCCTGCCTCATCACAACGACAGGTGCGGGAGAGTTTTCAAGAAGACAAAGGCTGGACCACAGAGGCCTAGTCCAGAGGACAGGGTGGCCAGGAGGCAGGCTCAGGGAGATGGGCAGAGGTGACCTGTAGGGGAGAAACCTGCAGCAGCCTCCTCTCCCTCTGAGCAGGGACAGGACCTCAGCGACTGCAGGCCCCAAAGCAAGTGTCAGAAAGAGGGAATCCAGGACCAGGACCAAGCACGGTCCCCAGGCAGAGATGGAACCCCTGCCCTCACCACCACCATGTGTCTCCACCCAGCCTTTGAGCTTCTCATCCACAGAGAAGCCCTGACTTCCTTTAGCCTCGTGCCATCCTAAAGTCATCATAGCAGGAGTGTCTCTCTTTATCTCCTTTTCACAGATTTTCAGATACAGACAGAAGTGGCTGCAACCATGGAGACGTTCATACTTACAACGGGGTACCAGCTAGCAGGTGAGTGGGCACTTGCTTTGTGGACAAAATGTCCACCCAGGCCGAGATGTGGACAGGTTGACTGGTTGGTAGGTTGGTAGATAGGTTGGTTAGTTGATTGGCAGGTTGGTTCATAGGTTGGTAGGTTAGTAGGTTAGTTGGTTGGCAGGTTGGTTTGTATGTTGGTAGGTTAGTTGGTTGGCTGGTAGGTTGGTAGATTGGCAGGTTGGTTAGTTGGTTGGTAGGTTAGTAGGTTGGTTAGTTGGTAAGTTGATTGGTAGGTAGGTTGGTTGGTTGGTTGAAAGGACCCCTTCCTTACACTGCAAAATGTGTGAGTAAAAGACTGATCCAAGGCCGGGCGCGGTGGCTCAAGCCTGTAATCCCAGCACTTTGGGAGGCCGAGGCGGGTGGATCACGAGGTCAAGAGATCGAGACCATCCTGGTCAACATGGTGAAACCCCGTCTCTACTAAAAATACAAAAAATTAGCTGGGCATGGTGGCGCGTGCCTGTAATCCCAGTGACTCAGGAGGCTGAGGCAGGAGAATTGCCTGAACCCAGGAGACGGAGGTTGCGGTGAGCCGAGATTGCGCCATTGCACTCCAGCCTGGGTAACAAGAGCAAAACTCCGTCTCAAAAAAAAAAAAAAGGGCTAATCCAGATACCGACATAACTCAGAATCCCATGAACCAGTTACAGGATGCTATGAATGAAGTCTCAGGTCAGCCCCATCAGTTTCTCTCAAGCTGATCTGGAAGGGCTGTACCCCAGGCCTCTGCCAGGGGTCAAGAGTGGAAGGAAGGAGCTGTGTAGTCAGGCAGAGAGGACAGGCTTCCAGAAACACAGCAGTCACTGCCTGGTAGGAGGGAAAAACAGACTCTGAGGCTGCATCTGCCTGGGAAAACCTTAGCGGGTTTTTCCTCCAAGAACCTCCAAAACCTCAGCAGAGCACCGTCTGGAAAACCTGAACCCTGTCAAGAGATGTTAATGTGCTTCTTTTCATCTTCACAGTTCAATGTTTCTTTTACCAGGCGCTCTGTGTGTCCTGAAATGAGGCCTGGCCTCTGAGCCTTTCCGAAGGGCTTGTGTGGGAGAAGGTTGCCTCCAGAGGGAAAGCTCCCTCCACCCTCACCCTGTCCTCCCCACCCTGTTCCTCAAGCCTCCTAAGACATCCCAGGAGGAGGGACCTACCTCCTGAGACAGAGAAGAGAGGCTGCAGCCTCCGCCTTGCTCTTTGGGGATGTCCTCAGCCCGCCCTGTAGCCCTGGCTCCTGCTGCTCCTCCTCACGCCAAGCTCAGGGCCCTTCGCTGAACTCCCTCTCTCTGTTGACAGTGGCCGGCTGTGTTTTCCTGCTGATCAGCGTCCTCCTCCTGAGTGGGCTCACCTGGCGGCAGAGACAGTAAGTCCGGCATCACCAAGACAGCACGGGGTCAGATCCAAGTCCTGCGCCCAGCCCCGCCCCTCCCCGTGCTCTCCCTAATCACCTGCAGCAGTTCAGGGAGTGGCAAAGGAAGAAACAGAAAAGAAAAAGTAAACTCTAGAAACTCAGTGTATCTCTTGATTATCCAGGGTCTCCCTGACCCCTGCCAGCATACATTCTGGCCAACCCTCATACAAACTCTACAGTAAGACCCTGAGAAAATATAGATCCATTCCCCCAAAACTGAAGCTCTTGGCCCAGCCAGAGGGAAAAATAAAGGATTGCTTCCCTTCTTAGATGAGTCATCGGGCCCATGACATACTCCTAATTTTCCTCATGGGAATTTAAATATATAAATGATTGCAATACAAATGATAAGCCCCCTCCCCACAGGGTTACCGTAGCAGGCATGAGTCACATAACTGACAGTCTACCAATTTCTCTAAGGTGTCAGCTGGTTCCTAAGGTGTCATTTTAGGATTACAGGAGAAGCATGTAACGTGCCTGACATGTTGAAGGAATACTCAGTACTCAAATCCTCTCCTTCCTCACCCTGAACACGTGACAAGCCTTAACACCTAGCAGGATTTTTTTCATTTGCTAGTTTGAAGACCAAACACATTCAGGCCCAGAGGACAAAGCTATTTGGCAGTAGGAATGGATCCGTGTTTATGCTGTGAAACAGAATGGTGTGAAACCATATGAGTTCCCCCAAGGACTCCCAGAATTACAATCTTTGGACAGACTCAAACATACATCTTGAAATGACCCTTCTAGTCAGAATTTGTCCAAAATGCTTCCTAGAATCTGATATCAACTCATGGCGCCCTCTTGTGGCAACAGAGCCTAGCCAAAGAGAGTTTTGTTTGGGGAAATATTTCGTTTGTTTTGAGCAATGACCAGGAACCCGTGATGTGCCACAGAAGGCTCACAGTGGCTTGTGAGAGCCAGTGGTCACATTTTCAAGACTTCTGCAAACTGGCTTTTAAGCCTAGCCATTACGTAAAGTTAAAGTATTTAGGGTGGGAGCAGCGGCTCCTGCCTGTAACTCCTGTACTTTGAGACACCAAGGTGAGAGGCTCGCTGGAGACCAGCCCGGGCAACAAAGCAGACCTTGTCTCTACAAAAACATTTTATTTTATTGTATTTTTATTTATCTTATTTTGAGACAGAGTTTCACTCTTGTTGCCTAGGCTAGAGTGCAATGGTGTGATCTTGGCTCACCACAACCTCCACTTCCCCAGGTTCAAGCGATTCTCCTGCCTCAGCCTCCTGAGTAGCTGGGATTACAGGCATGCGCCAGCACCCCTGGCTAATTTTTTGTATTTTTAGTAGAGATGGGGTTTCTTCATGTTGGTCAGGCCGGTCTTGAACTCCCAACCTCAGGTGACCCTCTTGTCTCGGCCTCCCAAAGTACTGGAATTACAGGCCTGAGCCACCACACCAGCCTATAAAAACATTTTAAAATTAGCTAGGCGTGATGGCACATACCTGTAGTGCCAGCCACTGGGAAGGGTGAGGTGGGAGAACCCCTTGAGTCCTGGAGTTCAGGGTTGCAGTGCACCTCAGCCTGGGTGACAGATTGAGATGCTGTCTCAAATAAATAAATACATAAAGTATTCAAATTTACAGTTCAATAAACTATATTAAATACAAGAGCAAGAATCACTTACAATGAATCGCTTCCTGATTATTTGCTACATTTTACTGCTGTCTTTGTTCCCGGGGCAGTTCACATATATTGTGTCTGCATGGTGGAAATACCGTATGGTGGTGGCTACTGTACATCACTTCCCAACCACGTGTTCAGGGATGTCACATTGCCAGCGGCAAGCTGAGTGTGGAGGGAAGATTTACACCATGACAGATAGGCAACCATCCTCAGAGAGCTGCTTGTTAAACATCACCAGCACACCTCTGCGTGGAGCCTTGTGCTATGGGACCTCTGTGCAAAGTAGGGAGAAATGAGAGATTCCCATGAGCCAACTAAGGACTGGGAAAAGGCTAAGACCGTATTGTTCAATCCAGTAGCCACTAGCCACCTGTGGATACTTGTGTGTTTAAACTTAAATAAATTAAATACAATTAGGAATTCAGTTTCTCAGTTGCGCTAGCCACATTTCAAGAGTTCCCTAGCCACAGGTGTCTATATTATTGGACAGCACAACTACAAAAGACTTCCATCATCTCAGCAAGTTCCACAGCACAGTGCTGGCTAGAAACTGAGCGCTTTAACGTATGCAAATCATTTAGCACAGTTAGTTGCTGTTTAATATTCCTGTTCCACAGCTATAGTCTGCTACATAGTTTTTAAAAACTTACGCCAGGTGCAGTGGCTCACGCCTGTAATCCCAGCACTTTGGGAGGCCGAGGCAGGCAGATCACGAGGTCAGGAGTTCGAGACCAGCCTGGCCAACATAGTGAAACCCTGTCTCTACTAAAAACACAAAAAGTAGCCAGGCATAGTGGCGCGTGCCTATAATCCCAGCTACTTGGGAGGCTGAGGCAGGAGAATTGCTTGAACCCGGGAGGCAGAGGTTGCAGTGAGCTGACATTGAGCCACCGTACTCCAGCCTGGGCAACAGAGCAAGACACTGTCTCAAAAAACAAACAAAAAACACCTTTTAAAGAACATTTTCTAAGTGACAGACACTCTGCCAGGGACTCAAAGATGAATACAACATGGTCCTTCTTTTAGGTGCCTACAGACTAGTAGAAGAGAAGGAAAATATACTCACTTTAAATATAATTTGTGAAACCCTAATGTTGAGATGTTATAGGAACAAAGTGAGAAGCCCCTCCATGGGGGTTTAAAGAAGGCTTTAGATCTGATGGTGCCCGAAACGCCTGGGGCCAGGTAGAGAGTGGCAGATGATGGCTTCTAGGCAGAGGGAGCATGAGGAAGGGTGTGAGGTGTCAAGGGCGGGATGAGGTGTTGGAGAGAAGCCAAGCAGTGCTGAGCAGCTGGGTGCATGGGGCAGCCTGACAATGATGCCCTGCCACAGGGACGGACAGTGACCAAGTCTGGGAACATCAGGCCAGGCTGAGGAGCTGGACTTCATCCCCAGGATTCCTCCTGATGAGGTTCTCTTCATCCAGTAGTGAACCACAGAAGGCTTTACGTGGCTAGAAGGCAGGTGGTAACACTGGCCATCCACGCGGTCTGACTGCAGCACAGAGGCTGGGTTGAAGGGTGGGTGATTGTGGTGGCAGTTTGACTACATGACAATGGAATACATCCACCAAGATCGTACAGTACTTTTTTGTTTTATTTGGAGATGGAGTCTTGCTCTGTTGCCCAGGCTGGAGTACAGTGGCGTGATCTTGGCTCACTGAGACCTCCACCTTCTGGGTTCAAGCAATTCCCCTGCCTCAGCCTCCCAAGTAGCTGAGACAGCAGGTACATGCTGCTGTGCCCGGCTAATTTTTGTATTTTTAGTAGAGATGGGGTTTCACTAAGTTGGCCAGGTCAGTCTCGAACTTCTGACCTCAAGTAATCCACCTGCCTCGGCCTCCCAATGTGCTGGGGTTACAAGCATGAGCCACTGTGCCCGGCCTGAATGACTCTTAGTGGTGGAAAATGAATAAATAAACAAAATTGTAAAGTACATCCACAGAGAATGTGAGCTTTATGACTTTCATAGGACACGTGCACAAAAAGGCTTTGTGAGCACGATCTAAGGGTGGAGTTTTCTGACTTCAAAAGGTCACCTAGTGGACACTCACACAGGCCCACTTGGAGAGCTGGTGGCCTCAGCCAGCTTGAACTGAACAAGAGCTGACCCCAAGCTCCCAAAAAGGAATGTAAGCAGTCCTTACAATGACAACCTATCCACCAGAGACGGCGTCTACAAGGAAGCCAGCAGAAGTTTAGTTATATATGACTTAGCGACATGACTTTAAAAATCACCTGGAATCAAGTGACTAAAAGTAAGCAAGCTAAGTGTGGCAAGCCTACTCAGGTTAGCCCTCAGTTTCACACCTGCCACACAATGAATGGAATTCTCATGCTGTGAGAACCACAGAGCAGAGGCTGAACTTGGGCAGCCAGTCGTGGCCTCTGGAGGGATGGAGAGGCCTTGAGGTCAGATTTCAGCGTGTGGGAAGGTGACAGTTCACTGGGGGGGTTTACGAGTTAGGAGGTCAATTGGTCTAAAGTGGAACGCTGTACCAGCACTGGTTTAGGATGGGGACCACATTTTTTTGGTGCTGTATTACACATATGACCATGACTTTGTTACACCACTACAGGAGGAAGAGTAGGAGAACAATCTAGAAAACCAAAACAACGAGAACTTCTTGGAAAGAAGCCAAGAACAGACAACAGAAGTCATGAGGCACCAAGCAAAATCAGAGGAGCTAAACACTTGCCCAGGAGACATCCCCTGTGCTCACCTGGGTTTTGGAAGCTCTGAAGTCACATCGCAGGACACGGGGCAGTGGCAACCCCATCTCTACACCAGCTCAGTCCCATCAGAGAGCGAGCGCTACCCACTTCCAAACAGCAATCCCGTCATTGAAGAAAAGAGCAAAACCACCAGAACTCTCCATCGTATTTACATGTATATGTGTCATTAAAGCCTGAATGGTATGGAACCCTCTCCACGCTCTATGTAGTATAGAGAAAAGTAGGTTTACATTAATCTCGTCCCAACTCTCCAGTTCAGAAATCCCAAGGAAAGCCCTTGCACTAATGTAAATTCACAACACACACACTCTACCCCATACGACTAGACATTGTCCTCGTGGCTCCTTTCTCAGCCGCTTCTGACTGCTGATTCTCCCGTTCACATCGCCTAATGAACATCCTTTAAGAATTGTGGGCTGCAACCCAGAAATTTTACCCTTGGCTCAATTCTCTAAGCTGACACCCTTCTACTGAACCTTCAGTCTTGAATTTCTAAAGAACACAGGCCATGGCAGAATAATCTTTGTAACTTCAAAATGGGGCCGCCAAGCCCATGAGGCAATGTCAGGAACAGAAGGATGAATGAGGTCCCAGGCAGAGAATCATACTTATCAAAGTTTTACTTGTGCATGACTAAGAGGCCTCTTTAAGAGTTAGTTTCTCGGGGATTGCTATGAATAATACTCTGAATTTGGCCTGCACTAATCTGATGTTTACAGGTGAACACAAAAACATCAGTGTGTACATTTTCTGACAAGTGTCTAAGAACACTGAAAAGGGATCAGTACATTTACTGTTTATGGAAGGAAGGAAAGAAAGTAGGAAGTAAAGAGGGAGAAAGGAAGGAGGTCATACTGGTAGAATGCAACCATGGAAAAGGGCACATCAGGCCAGGCATGGTGGCTCAGGCCTGTAATCCCAGCTCCCTAGGAGACCAAGGTGGGAGGATCTCTTGAGGCCAGGAGTTTGAGACCAGCCTGGGCAGCATAGCAAGACCTCATCCCTACAAAAAATTAAAAATTGGCTGGGTGTGGTGGCATGCACCTGTAGTTCCAGCCACTCAGGAGGCTGAGCAGGAGGATTGCTTGAGCCCAGGAGTTCGAGGCTGCAGTCAGCCATGATGGCACCACTGTACTCCAGCATGTGCAACAGAGCAAGGCCCTATCTTTAAGGAAGAAAAAGAAAAGAAGGGCATGTCAGCAGTCCTCGGACATTACCAAAAAGTTCAGCGTATCAGAATCACCTGGAGGCCTTGTTAAAACAGTTTGCTGGACCAATCTCCAGAGTTTCTGAGTCATCAGTCTGGGAGAGAGCCAAAGGGTTTGCATTTCTAAGAATTCCCAGGTGCTGCTGCTGCTGCTATTCAGGGAACACACTTTGAGAACCGTTGTGTTATCCCGCTGCACACCCACCCAGTTTCAACTCCCACGAAAAACTCAGCTTCAGGAGCTGAGATTCCAGTGTGCGCCCTGGTTCCATGTCTGGTGTTACAGCTCCCTCACAAATGCGCTGAGTCGACATTCTAGCTCAGCAACATCACACGGTTAGGGACATGGACGGAAATTATTCATTCATGAAACTATCAGCCAGTTTTCATTTCTGAAGGGGCAGGAGAGTGTTAGGAAAAATAACGGGCGGTTTTCAGCAGGGTCCAGATTCAGATTAAAGAGCTATTTCTGTTTTTTTGATGACCAACCACATACAGACTCACCTGTGCACCCTCCCCCTCCCCCTTCAGGTGTATGTTTTCTAAGTTGAATTGAATCTTAGACCAAAAAAAAAAAAACCCACATATATATATATATATATATATATATATATATGTAAATCTTACTTGAGTAGAATTGAATTACTCCTTTTGGGTGTTGAGGGGTCTATATGATCAAAACTTTTCCATGATAATACTAAGATGTTATTGGCCATTTCACTCTCCTTCTCTCAAAAAGGTATGGTGGAATTTTCCAGAAGCTATGTGGTATGTGGTGGTGATGTCATCACTCTGCTGTTAACATATAATCAATTTATTGCTATTGTTTATAAATGAATAAATGATATTTTTTAAAAAGTCTTGGTTTTTGTTACAAATATGATAAGTATTGCTAGCTATAACATACGTAACCAAAATCTCTTTATAGTTTTTGATTTTTTTTTTTTTCGAGATGAAGTGTCACTCTGTTGCCCAGGCTGAAGTGCCGTGGCATGATCTCGGCTCACTGCAATCTCTGCCTATTGGGTTCAAGCAATTCTCCTGCCTCAGCCTCCCAAGTACCTGGACTACAGGCACCCACCACCACAGCCAGCTAATTTTTGTATTTTTAGTAGAGATGGGGTTTGACCATGTTTGTCAGGCTGGTCTCGAACTTCTGACCTCAAGTGACCCACCCACCATGGCCTCTCAAAGTGCTGGGATTACAGGCATGAGCCACAGCACCCAGTATGGGATCCTCTATAGTTTTAATAGTTTTAAATAACATGCAAAGGTCCTGTCAAATGGCCAACAAGCACATCAACATCACTGGTCATTTCAGAAACGCAAATCAAAACCACAATGAGAGACACTTCATACCCACTGAGATGACTAAGGGAAAGAACAGGAATGCTCACAGATGGCCGGTAGGATGTCAAACGGTGCAGCCACCTGGCAAAGCAGAGATGGACATTCCCTCAGGAAGCTAAAGATGGATGTCCTATGACCCAGCAATTCTATTCCTAGGTACACATCCAAGAAAGACAAAAACATATGTCTAAACACAAACTTGTACACAACTGTTTATAACAGCATTGTTCATACTCTCCAAGAGGTAGAAACACCCACATACCCAACAACAAATGAATGCATAAAGGCTGGGCGTGGTGGCTCACGCCTATAACTCCAGCCCTTTGGGAGGCCAAGGTAGGCAGATCACTTGAGGCCAGGAGTTGGAGACCAGCCTGACCAACATGGTGAAACTAGTCTCTACTAAAAATACAAAAAGTAGCCAGGCATAGTGGCGCGTGCCTATAATCCCAGCTACTTGGGAGGCTGAGGCAGGAGAATTGCTTGAACCCGGGAGGCAGAGGTTGCAGTGAGCTGACATTGAGCCACCGTACTCCAGCCTGGGCAACAGAGCAAGACACTGTCTCAAAAAACAAACAAAAAACACCTTTTAAAGAACATTTTCTAAGTGACAGACACTCTGCCAGGGACTCAAAGATGAATACAACATGGTCCTTCTTTTAGGTGCCTACAGACTAGTAGAAGAGAAGGAAAATATACTCACTTTAAATATAATTTGTGAAACCCTAATGTTGAGATGTTACAGGAACAAAGTGAGAAGCCCCTCCATGGGGGTTTAAAGAAGGCTTTAGATCTGATGGTGCCCGAAACGCCTGGGGCCAGGTAGAGAGTGGCAGATGATGGCTTCTAGGCAGAGGGAGCATGAGGAAGGGTGTGAGGTGTCAAGGGCGGGATGAGGTGTTGGAGAGAAGCCAAGCAGTGCTGAGCAGCTGGGTGCATGGGGCAGCCTGACAATGATGCCCTGCCACAGGGACGGACAGTGACCAAGTCTGGGAACATCAGGCCAGGCTGAGGAGCTGGACTTCATCCCCAGGATTCCTCCTGATGAGGTTCTCTTCATCCAGTAGTGAACCACAGAAGGCTTTACCTGGCTAGAAGGCAGGTGGTAACACTGGCCATCCACGCGGTCTGACTGCAGCACAGAGGCTGGGTTGAAGGGTGGGTGATTGTGGTGGCAGTTTGACTACATGACAATGGAATACATCCACCAAGATCGTACAGTACTTTTTTGTTTTATTTGGAGATGGAGTCTTGCTCTGTTGCCCAGGCTGGAGTACAGTGGCGTGATCTTGGCTCACTGAGACCTCCACCTTCTGGGTTCAAGCAATTCCCCTGCCTCAGCCTCCCAAGTAGCTGAGACAGCAGGTACATGCTNAAATACAAAAAATTAACTGGGCATGGTGGTGGGCATCTGTAATTCCAGCTACCTGGGAGGCTGAGACATGAGAATCCCTTGAACCTGGAAGGCAGAGGTTGCAGGGAGCCAAGATGGTGCCACGCACTCCAGCTTGGGCAACAGAGGGACTCTTCTCTCCAAAAAAAAGAATGGATAACCAAATCATGGCATAGCCCTACAGTGAAGTATTAGCCACAGGAAGGGATGAACTATTGATCCATGATGCCATTTCGATGAGGGTCAAAAACATTATGCTGAGTGAAGGAAGCCCCACACAAAAGGTCACTATTGTATGACTCTTTTTTTTTTTAAGACAGGGTTTCACCATGTTGACCAGGATGGTCTCAATCTTCTGACTTCGTGATCTGCCGCCTCAGCCTCCCAAAGTGCTGGGATTATAGGCGTGAGCCACCATGCCCAGCGTATGACTCTTTTTATATGAAATATCTAGAATAGGCAAGTCCCTAGAGACAGAAAGCAGATTAGTGTTTGCCAGGGGATTTTTCTGGGGTGGTGAAAAAGTTTGGAAACTAGAGAAAGGAGATAACGGCACAACATGTTGAACACACTAACAGCCACTGGATTGTACGCTTTATCACAGTTCATTGTGTGTTATGTGAATTTCACCTCAACTTTTTAAAAAGGAGATCCTGAGACCAACAGATTTGAATATTGCTTATCTTACGATTCTCAAAGAAGGGTCCTCAGCCCAGAAGGATCATCCTGAAGTCTTTATGGTGACTTTAGCATTTTATGAAGTAAGTTTTCAGGAGACCCTGAATTTTTGTTTTCAAAAACCAAAAGTAGCAATGTTACTAAAGTTTATGGAAGGCTCTAATTCGGCATTCTGTCAAGAGTGTACAATTTGCATAGCTCCCAGGAAGCTTGCTGTTCCTGATGCAACAGCAGACCCATCGTGATACTCACTGGTATTCCTTCAGCTAATTATGGATTCCTGCCAGTGATTTTCATGGAGGGGTTGCGTTGGCAGGCTCCCAATGTGCATCCTCATAATCAATTAATTTGCTGTGGGTTGAAAACCTAAACAAACTGAAAGTCAATAACTCTTCTTAGATCTGTAGAAGTAAGATCACAGGGTAGCTCACTGTCCCCAATATTGGAAAGGCAGACAGGCTGATAGAGGGAAATCACAATTTCCTGGAGCAGAAGCAAATGTCTTCTCCAGTCTTGTTGACTCAAAGTAGGTCTCCTGTCTACGCCTGCACTGCCACCAGAAGATATGAGATGATTCTGATTTCATAAGGCCCAAGCCACAGACCCCACTCCTAGAATCAGTAATAAAGAGAAGATCTTAAAAGCAGCCAGAGAGACATGAACCATTGCAGAGAAACATAAATAAGGATGACAGGTTCAAGCAATTCTCCTGCCTCAGCCTCCCATGTAGCCGGGACTACAAGCATGCACCACCATGCCCAGCTAAGTTTTGTATCTTTAG